TGGGCCGACTGCTTGCGGCGGCGGGAACGCCTTCCAGCAAACCACATTGGTCGTGGCCCTGGTCAAAAGGGTGGACCGGTTGAACTCAGTTGACGGTTCCCGTTTCTCCGCTGACTCTGCTGTTACACAAGATGCTAAAGGTAGAAAGCTCGAGCAATAATCGGTTTACTGGCACAACCACCTTTGCAATTAATCTTGTCATGCGGTGTGCCAGTCGTTAGGAGATGAGTCCCAGCATGGGCGAAGGGGGAACTGCTCGATACATCAATTATTCTGGGGTCTGGCCGGCATGCAGGCCCCCGCTGCTATAGAAACGAAAGGCTACGCTGAATAGCAAAGCCAACTGGGGCCCAAGCCCAACATTGGCCTCAATAAAGGCTTATCAACCCTCAAGTAACATGAGGTTTAGTCCTGCCACCACTAACCGTCATAGACAGCGACGTTAGCAGGTCCTACGAATAAGCTAAACCCCGAATAGGAACGTCAACAATCGCCGGGTAGCTGAAGCAATTCCTGATTCTAAACAACCTCAACTGTAACGTTAACCCTCCTGGTCAGTGGTGACTTTGATCTTACCTTCAAAAATGGCTCCAACACTATCCACAGTGTAAACTCTGCCTCGACCACAGTAATGGCATGGATGGCTACACTTTGACAACCCCTAGTCGGAAGCCTGGTTGTATCCTGAGAAACTGTAGCCCATAAGCAGCCCTAATATTCCCCCCCCCCCCCCCATAATTTCACCCCAATCGGTTACTGGAGCAGAAACCTTAGTTTCAGCCTGATAGAAGCCTCAGCAGTAACTGTGCTCTGGTGCTAGTGTCGTTCATCTTAGGTTTGACTTGTATGCGTCACTTTCGAAGTCCCCTTACAAACCTCGATTTGCACCATCGTCATGATATGTACCACCCCTCCACTCTCCATTCAAATCGCAATCATGTTCAAAGGCTTGGTGCTTAGCGCCAGTGGGCAACAAGGTTGTACTCGGCACTTAGTATGACTAAGCGGATTGTATGCAATACTCGACACTAAAATTTCGCGTTGATCGATTGAACTACGTACAAGATTTGAAATGCGTCTGAGAGATGGTTATGCCTCAGCACTACGATGCTGCCCTCGCGGGTTGAAACATTGTGTTGCGGTGGGGAAACCACTGCTGCTTTCGATAAGGCTGAGTGACTGCGTTATTGCTTCAAAATTGCAGGTTGATCTCTCTTCGCTACCGGGTTACCAAAGCTGAGACAGATCTAGGGCCAGACCACAGCTAAGGCCCCAACCTTCCAATCCCAAGCTTTTCCCGAAGCAGAATCACAAAGACAGATATGTGGGAGCAGAAGTCGAGACCACCAACTAGGCCCGCATTGTGAAATGTGCCCAGTGAACAAGACATCAATCGGTCAGACACAGCACAACTGATGCAACTCAAGCAGCGTAGTTGCAGTTCCATATTAGGACTTCTTCGTGCACCGGCCACGCATGGCAGAAGCGATCCGCCATGAGTGGCACTGTGGAGTTCTGGCCCCAATGCGAGCGCCGAGTGCTGTGCTCAGCCTGGCTTGCTTTCGTTAGGGACTTTGCCCAAGAAAGGTTGCCGCCGGAAGAATCGACCCTTCTGCGAGCATCACGAGGGCCGGAGCCATGGCTTTTTGTCACAGAGCCGAGGTTGCCGAGCATGATTGCGCATATTCCACACGAGAGCAAAGGCTTGGTGTTGCCTTTTGGGCTGTGGCGATAGCCAACGGCCTGTACATGGTGCCCTGGCCACCTGCATGAGTGCATTTGGGAAAAGAGTATAGACGGTATAGGTCTGGAGTTGTTGCAGCTGTTCTTCCTGCAGTGCTTGGGCTTTCTCGTTTTCTTGCGTGATGCTGTTCGCCACAGTTCTGACTGCAGCGGAACCCAGATATTCACACTGCGATCGCAGAGCTTCTGGTCCGATGCTCGGCGGTTTTGTCATATTCCGTCCCTTGGGTTTTTGTGATTTTCTGAGCCAGGCCGGGTCTCCACAACCTTTGTGCGGGCCTCCTGCTCGTGCGGTCACTCAGAGGTCGCAGTTGCATCGGCGGGCGTCAGACTTACCTTCACGAAGGTTCTCGTGGCATCTGCTTCGGGCGTGTGGGAGGATCGCCGGCACAGTGTCCTCGTGGCATCTCGTGGTTTGGACGTTCACAGGTGAAGGCCATGCGATCACGGCTGGATGAAAGCGAAGGCCGGTGCCTGAAGGCCTGGAGGGGTCTGGAAGGGCTCCGTCCTAGCGGAGCTCGCGAGACACACAGATTCTCCTAGGGGATTGCTGCTCCTACGTACGTGCAGGTTGGCCGTGAGTTCTTCCTGGCCGGCATGTATTTTGTTCGGACCTGAAAAGCAGAGGCCAGCTGGGTCTCGTGAAACAAAGTTAGCCTCAGGTTGTCGCTGGCTTTCTAAGCTCGCCTTCCACCGCCTCCGAGCCTCAGGCCACAACCTTGCTCCACGAGAATTTACAAGGGACAGCACGGCATGCGCCAATCTGTGATCGCCCCTCGCTTTTTTTTCAGTCCTGTCGGGCCTTTGTCGGTTTCGATCTGCGGCCATGGTTTCGACAAAGCGCGGGTCCTTTGGCGCCACCGTGGCCGTCGGCCTGGCCCTTGTGGCTGCCTGGAGCTGCCTCTGGAGACATGAGGAGGACTTCGTGAGCGGTGTGTCGGTTCAGCCCCGCGAGTCCCTGATGACTCGCTGCGCGGTAGACAAGGCGATGAAGGATCGAATCGCATCTGTGGCGAAGACCGCCAAGCTGACCGATGCCATGAGAGTGGTCGCTGCCGCCAAGGTCCGAAACGCCCAGAACGGCGTAGAGAAGCAGCGTCCGTTCACCGACGAGCTCCTGAGCATGATCAAAGGCTTAGTAAAGCGACTCAAAGGCAGCGGCTTTGAGGCAGAGCTTCCGATGCTGCGAGTGCCAGAGAAGGTCAAGAATGTCGGCATCTTGATGATCACGGCCAACCGAGGACTCTGCGGGGCCTACAACAC